CTCAGCAGAGTGTAGATCCACATTTCCTTCCTGAGTCTCCTCCCGTTAAGTGATTCGGGGTCCACTCCATAGCGCCACATTCCTTCTGGAACCCGCACAGCTTTCAATGTATCTGGTAGGTACCTGCACATTACTTTCCTCATTCGTTTAATCTCTACTGTAACTGTGGTTATTTCCCCTCTTCCATTTCTAATTTTACTTTTTTGGTGCTTTTTCCTGCTCTCTTTTTATTTTTAATGATGAGTTTTCTAACTGCATAACAATTTAGTAATTTTTAACTTCTCCTTTGATCATTTAAATTTCCTTCCTTTGACTTAGATCTTCTGTATTATTCCTTTTGTAGCTTCTTGAGTCTAAAAATGGATTTTAAAAAATAATGTGAGTAGTAAAAGCTACCTATTTTCCTGAGCAAATATTACTATATCCTATGATATGCAGGGATTATTTTTTCAATTCTTAGAATGTATAAATATTTCTTTAGATTCAACAGTTACTTAAGAACAAATTTTTTACAATCCAGAATGTATTATGAATTACTGTCATTTTTTGTTTTATTGCACTGGATCAAAATATGGAAATGTATACTTTTTATTTCAGGGAAGAAATTGAATTATTTGATAACTTAATAGTTATTTTGTAAATTTCAAAAAATAGTCAATTTTGTAAATTTCCAAGGTGATTTTAAAAAAGGGTTCTGTTTTCATATAATTTTAGCCTTATGCATATATATATTTGTACTTTGTATACATACACATATATACTTAGGTATACGTATATTTATCTATTATGTAAATCTTACTAATTATAATTCATATCTTTTACCTTTTTGTCTGGTCTGATGGAGGTTAAAGATTATACTTGTTATTGTATTTCTCTCAGTTTCTTCTTTTACTTTCCCTTAATGTATATTTTATGAATTTTGGTGCAATTGTATTTAGGTACATACTTATACCTTCATTATGCTCTTTAATATTATAGATTCCACAATCACAGATCTGTTGACGGAGTTTATGTTGAATCCAGCTTTGTCTAATAACAATGTAAACAGCTTTATTCTCTTTAGAGCTTTTATCTTTGTTTACATTAAACCTTTCTGGGTCACTTTACTTTAAATGAATATCTTGCTGTCAGCGCACAGATTTTTTTTTAACCCAATCTCTTTTAAAAAAATCAGTTTTATTTACTTATGTGTTTGTTTTTAGCTTACTTTATTTTTTATTTTAAGTTAGAAATCCTGCAACATGATTCTTACACATAAAAATGTCTGCCCATCCTCTAGATTGAAATTACTGGATGGGGTCCACATTTATTAATTTCTGAAACCTTTACAATTCCCAGATCTGTGCATCAGGATTGGGTCCAAAATGCATTTAACTGATATGAACTGAAACGTTAGAATGAGCAAATGAATCTCCAGTGGTACAGTTTGGAAAACAATTGACAATCCCGTGGTGACAAACCAGGGACAGGATCTCCCTGGCTTCTCTGAAGTACAAAGCCGCAGTCACTACATCCCTCAACAGCATGCACCTGCTATTCTTGGACTTGGCATACACAGATCAGACAGTCACACCTTGGCCAGTAAGAAGTAAAGCACACAGTCCCTTCCTCTTGAGCCACCTTGCCATTTCTACCAATCATCTGCAGCCAGTCCCAATCTGGAATGAGATTTCAACCACTCCACTTGCTTCTCCTTGATCAGCCAGATTGCTGAAAACAGCAGTAAAAGATCATTCAAACACATCTAAAATTCAAAGGAATGGAGGAACTGCATTCCTTCCTTTTCTTGTTTCAGTGAAGCCTCCTGTTATCTCGGTATCCTTTCCCAATGCCAATCTTCATTTACTTTAAACTGTAAGCTAGTCTTTCTAAATATCTTTTGATAGATGTATTTCTTAATTATTTAAAGTAATCTTTGACAGAATGAGATTGCAGTCATTGATTGTTATTCCTAAACCAGGATCAGCAGACTCTTGAAGAAATTTTTAAAAGTGACAATAAGGGTTTTCTGGCTTCCCTGTCCCACCCACAGTAAAGTGAGCCTCACTCTGAGAATCCTGAAGGGGCAGGGGTGAGGGAAGGGATATGGGGAGGTTTTGAATTATTATATTTTTAAAAAGACAGATACATATATTTAGAAGCTATTTTATTAAGTAACATATTAAGCTTGCAGATACAAGCAGAAAAAACAACCACAGCCAGATGCAAATCCAAATAAATCCAAATGCCAGACCAGGGGAAAGTTGCGCTGAATGAGCGCTGAGCGTATAACTAGGACAGACCTAACTACAAGAATGAAAATGCTTGGAAATTTTTTTACAAATGTCAGGATGAGAGCCTGTGGCTCAGGGAATGGGAGATCTCCCCCCTCTCCTTTTAGTACTGAGGAGATCTTTGAAAGGTCACTAAACATCATCTCCATCACAACTAGTTCTGGATTCCTTATGGGTAATTTTGTGACAATAGATTAAATGACACTGTTTTCTGAAAAAGACATCAAATTGATCCAGCTTTGTACTCTTTTATGGAGTGATTATGATAATAAACTAAAACAAAAACTCAAGAAATTTAAAGAGGTGGTAGTAGGAGGAAAAATAAGCATGTAGCAGATGGCTGGAGAAATAGAAAGCAGAACCGGACTCCGATTTGGTAGGAATGAAGGAATTTGTAACAACTATGACTAGTATGCTAAGAATTCTAATGAAAAAAGTAGACAGCATGCAAGAACAGACGGGGAATCTAAGCAGAGAGATGAAAATTCTTATGAAGAACCAAAAAGGAGAGCTAGAATTCAAAAACGTTGTATCAGGAATTATTGTCCTTGATGGGCTTATTGTGGGCATGGCTGTGGAGAGAATCTCTGAGTTAGAGGATATATTAATAGAAACCTCCACAACTGAGAGGCAAAGAGAAAAAAAACAGAACAGAAAGAATATCCAAGGACTGTGGGACAACGAGAGGAGGCATAACAAACACGTAGAGGGAATACCAGGAGGAGAAAGAGAGAAAGGAACAAAAGAAATATTTAAAACAATAATGACTGGGAATTTCCTCCGAATTTATGTCAGACACCAAACGACAAATCCAGGAAGCTCAGAGAATTCTGAGTATGATAAATACCAAGAAACTACATGTAGGCATATCATTTCATTGTCCAACTACAGAAAATCAAAGGAGAAAATCCAGAAAAAGCCCTAAGGAAAAACTCCTGTCTTCCCACAACAAAAGCCAAAGTCCTCAGAATCCCTATGCGGGCGGGACCAGATGAGTAGATAAGAATCTACCGATTTGTAGACAGAAATAGAAATCATACATTTCTATATGATTCTTTCCAAACTCTTTCTACCCACTATGAAGAGAACTGTCCAGGCTTAAGGAGAACAATGCAGGTAAATGTTTAGGAGACAAGGACAGCTTCGTACCTTCATTACTGACGCCTTATTGTACCCTGTCTTCTCTCAGTGACCCCCTGAGCAGGTGCAGCTCATTTTCTTACTTGTCTACTAGCATCTGATTTTCACTCAAAGACCTATTTTAATAAGGAGTTAGTGGTCAATACTTAAAAAAAAAGAATGGAAAAAAATAACAAAAACAAAACCTTGTAAACAGTAAGAGTCTATCCAGCTCTCAGTTTTTGTCCCTGAATCTGTAACCAGAGAAAAAGAAAAGAAAAAAGAAAAAAAGGAAAGAAAGAAAACAAGTAAGACTCTTGCATTAGAAAAATTGGAATACAGGGTTCTTCAAGGTCATGTGATTCAACTAGGCAGGAGACGTGGCTGGTGCCAGGTCCTCTGACTGCAGGCCTATTTCTTTCTGCTTTTGTTACAGGTTGAGTCTGTTCTCCTCAGTTTTCGTCCCCACCAAAACAAAGAACTGAAACGCAGAGACACAGTAGTGAAGTTGAGTGAAAGTTTTATTCGAATCCACTCCAAGGGAGGAGGTGGCCAGAGTGAAGGGAGACAAAGGCCCTGGACTTTTAGGGGTGGTGCCTGTTTGACTGACAGGGTGAGGTCACTTGATGGACAGTTCCAGTTACACACTCATTCCTCTTGGTGCGCATGTCTTTTCCCAAAATGCACACGGAAAGGCGGGTGATGAGGTGTGGTCTGGATGGTTCTTAGTTTTGTTCAGTTATGTCCACACTGGGACCTGTTTGGGACCATTTGGCCTGGTCCTGAAAGGCAAGGAACTTATCTCCCTGCAAAGCCTGTGTCGTCCTCACGTGGGACCACCCCCATCCGGGCGGGTTTTTCCTTGAACCCTATCTTCTTCCCCTTCCCTAGCTGCTCATGTCTATCTTTTGACCTAAGCTTTGTCATGCTGCCCCTCCCTGCGCCTACTGCCTTATTCTTTCTGCTGAGGAACAGCAGAGAAGAGTGTGGCGTAGGTACTAGGTCATCGGCAAGCCTCATTTCATAAGCCAGTTTCTCAGCAATCTAATTCTAAGTGGCTTTCTGCCATTTCATGTTTGTATTCTGGACAACCTCACTTCAGCTGGACTCTCCCAGGCAGGAAAAAAGTACAAAAAGATAGGTAGGCCAGGTAGGTAGGATTAAGTTCTTTGGATTCAGAAAGGAAAAAGGAAATCTCGTATATGTTCATGAAACTTCTGGGGTGCAGCCTGCGTGTCAGAAACTTACTTATCTCCTATTCATGCTTCTGTATCTTCCTCCCTGATACATATGCTGCTCATGTCTTTGCTTCAGGGTGTCAAATATATTTAATAAACATATCCAAAATATGTTTTCCCTCCTCAAACACACCCACACCACTTTGGAGGGATGCCAGGAATGACCACTATCAGAACAGCAATTGATAGTCTATTTGTTCAAAAATTTAGGAAATGCAGGACCACTAAAACATTTTTTTTCAAATGTAGGCCAGTGATTCCTAAACGAGGAGGTACAGGTTCCATGTCCATCCCCAGGCTGCCTAGTACTGGGTACTTTCGGTGGAGAAATCAGCAGCGCCGTACTCGCTAGGTTTTCTAACTCTCACGCTGAGATTCCAGACTCCTCCTCTGGAGGAGCGAAGCCAACAAAGGCTTCCCGCGGGAAGAAGGCACAGGCTTTGCAGGGAGGTAAGTTCCTTGCCTTTCAGGACCAGGCCAAACGGTCCCAACCAGGTCCCAGCGTGGACACAATTAAACAAAACTAAGAACCATCCAGACCACACCTCATCACCCTCCTTTCCATGTGCATCCTCTTAGTCTAACTAGCAATGACCCGACACATGAAGTAATGAAATCGGGGAAAGAAAGGGACCAAAGAAAGCGGCCCTTAGCCCTGTCCCCATCCCACCACCGCCCGGAAAACAAACTAGAGCCTACGTTTTAGACTGACCTTCATCCTCTGTTTAGAGGCCACATTTCTGGCAGGCCAAAGGCTGTTGCCAAGAGTGCAGAATCAAACACACGTAAAACCATTATCAGCCGTAATTATTGTTTGCATCCCTTCATCTCATCACAACCTGAAGCAAGACCACCCATGAACTGTTCCAAGACAGTGTCACACAGAAGCACGAGGCTGATTGTGTTATAAACTCTCTACCACCGTCAGGTACGTGTGTCTGCCTGTTCATGTTTCATTGAAGTGTATAATGTATGTTCTTTCTTCCACTTGAGGGGAGAGGGTAGAATATTGTACTGGGTTACCACGTGCCACACGTCTTCAGACCAGCAAAGGAACACATCCTCTGGGCAGCTGATTCCCAGGATTGTGGTCTGAAGCACATTCTCTCTTTATTTACATACCACATAAAGCACAGAATTATGCAAAGCTGCTTTATATTCCCATTCATCTTCCTCCTGACTCTTGTCTACATATCTCCCCTATCACCTTCCTTTCCTCTAGTCCTGCTTTTTAAAATTTGTTTGCTTTTTGTTTCTTGGTTCCCTACCAGGATTTACCTTAGTGGTTTCTACATCAGCTTCTTTTCACAATTAAATTGGCCTTGGAGTTTCTGCATGTTCATTTTGTCCATGACATCTTTTTGGGATCATCTTAAACAACATTAAAAGCACTAGAGGTGGTCACAGGTAGGAAGGTAATGAAGGAAAGTTTCTTTTTCCTCTATTTGGAAATGTCTCCTGCCTCTCTGTCATAACCCTGTGTGTGTGTTAACTCAGAATCCTACCTGACTGGTCAGGCGTATGCTGAATTGATTTCTGTCCACTGGTTACATTAATGTGCTTACATATTTTCTACTGTATGTAACATAATTTAAGGATCTTAAAACTCGCAAACTTCTGTTACATAGAACCACAATTTATTTTAGTTTGAAAAGAAATATTTAAATATTGTAACATATACAGATGATAGCTAAGTGATTTTATTACTACAAGATAAAATTCTAGCAAGCCTTCCACTGCATACTTCAGTATAATCAGGTACAAAGACCTCAGATGCAAAGAGATGATCTCTAGTCATGAAGCCTGGTTCACCTATTCTGGCCTTGGTACTGGGTTAGGTAAATAAAGTCATAAAAACTTTGTGGAGGATTACGTTATATTGAGCCCCTACAGTTTTATAATTGTAGGTAAACCCACTGTGCTGAGTGATGAGGGATGTGTGTGGGGCGAGGGGGGCCCCCAAAGTAGTAACTGTTAACCGATTTCAAATGGGTTTAATAGAATTTCTCTTGTTCTTCAGCTAAAAGGATTAGTTGCTATTTGCTTCCCGATTGAAAACATCCTCCAGAAACTTAAAATCTTGGTCAAGAATGAAGAGTGCTGTTTTCAGGTCAATCTCTCCTCCCCTTTCTGCGTTGGGCCCTCAACCCTGCTCCCACCTGCCGAGGGGGCGGAGACCTCCGTAGTCCTCACACGACGTCGCAGAGAAATCGCCTTTACTGGGCTCTGACAGGCCTGTCTTTAGCCTGAATGATCTGATAATCTTTAGGATATTTTCAGTAGCAGGAGAAGGTGGGTTGCTCATTCCTGCTTCCACCTGTGTTTTTATGTCCATTTTCTTTCCTTCCTGCCTCCCTCTTTCCTTCTGTGTTTCACCTATTTATCGTACCCAACTTTTGAGGTCCAACTCAACTCAAATCTGAATGGGGCCTTCCAAGAACACGACAGTGATTGCTCCTACATGTACCTCTTATTGTGTATTTTTGGAATACCTAAATGCACAAGATCTATATGTACAGGATCATGTCTCTCTTCTAAGTGACTATGCTGTTCTGAAGGTCAGTTGTGTATTAGTACCATGCTAGTGAGGCTTATAGAAATGAATGATATTTAAATTGATGTTTCTCAGATTTTAATAAATTACTTATTAGGAAGGGAAAGACAATCTCTTATGTCTTAAATGCTCAGAAATTGGCTGTTTTTAGATTTCTGGGAAATTAAATCATGAAACAGGTAATGTTAAAAACAGGATAGAGCTTCAAAGTCCTTGTATAAGATTCAACTTGAATGGGTTTGAATTCACTGTTGTATATTTCTGAAGTAATTTTCATAAAAATCATGTTTTCAAACTTTAAAATGCTTTGAACATAGATATGACACTAAAATCCATTTAAACATATTTTAAGTAATAAAAATGGGTTAATACATTCATTAGCCGTTAGGCAAGATCATCTAAAAGGGTAATGGGATTTTTGGTACATCGAACCTCTAAATTAACTATATATACATCATTTCTTAGAGGTAACATACAAAATGAAGCATGCAGAAAAACTTGAAAAATATCCTTTGTTCATATATTTTGGGAAACGACAGGGTAACTTATTCATTCTTAAGCGTGCTGCACGATATCTTGGAGAAGTAATGAAGGCTTAGTAATGCAAAATTTTTCTCCAGCCTTCTTTTCTAAGAAATAAATGAAGTGAGACTTTCTTTCCAGTTGAAGACCTCAATTCTTCCTACCCATAACCTCATTTATCCCATCACCCTACACATCTGTAGGACTGCTCATTCCTTTATGAATCTGCTCCAGCTCCGCTTAGACTCCAAGTCCTCTGGGGACAGGTCTGGGATTCTTCTGTCTGTTTGCAAGTCCTACAACCAGGGCACCTAGCGTAAAGGATGGCACACATGATAAGGAAAGGGAGTTTGCCACGCAGACAAGGGGAAAAGTGGGTGAGGAAGGGAATGCGTGTGAAAGATGACGGGTCAGCACCAACTGTCTGGTAACCCCCGTGCCCCTGCGTTGGCTCGGCACTCCGCCAACATTGCCTCATTCATCCACACAGCTACCTTCCTCCAAAATCTCCATTCAACATTTTCTGAAAGCCTCTTGGCTGCTAGGCACCTTTCTCTCCAATCTCCCAGGGAACTCAAACAGACAAGGGCAGTAACTAGAAATGTGGCATGATGAGCTCCAGTGAAAGTGGCAAGAGTAGGGGTATAGACAGAAAACTTTTTTTTTTAGATAAAAATGAGGAGCTGGCCTAAAAGAGAGAGAACACTGGCAGATAGAAGTGCAGGAATACAAAGAGTGAGGTGGGAATGGCTGGGAGGTACAGGGATCTATGGAGCTTGCTGTTGCTAGAAGAAAAAGTGTAAGGCACAGAATCGAGAGGCATGGGGATTGAACCAACAGAGGCCGCGCCTTGTGAGACCCCCAGTAAGCTGGTTATGAGCTTGGGCTTCATCTCATGGCAGATGCACATGGCGCATTTAAGGGGAGTGCCAGGACCATTTGGATAGTTTCCTTTGGCAGTTTTGAAAAGTACGTATTTGGAAGGACAGACTGCAGGTTGGGAGACCAATGAATAGATAAGATGAGAGATTAGAAACTTAACTAGGGCAAGAGTATTAGAATCCGAGATGAAGGGAAGGTTCAGGCCATATTTTGGAGGTATCATTACACCTCTGAATAATCTTTTCCAAATGTAAAGCACATACCCCTCCCTGGTCAAACCCCTTTGATGGTCCCTTCTTCCCTTACACTGCCTCCCTCTGCTCACCTCCTCCCTGGCCCACACCCAGTTTACCCACCATCCCCGTCTAGGACTCTCTCCTTGTCTCCAGAACTGCCAAGCCCTCTCCCACCTCTGTATTGTTTACCCTGGGCCAGCATCCTCCCCCCTCAGCTCCCTTCAAGGTGAGCTCTCTGTCTTTCTTTAGGTCGCACCTCCTCCCATGTAAACCTTGTCTAATGTGACCCTACTCTCCCCGCTTTTAGTTTCCCAGTTTCCTCCCTGCCACTTATCACAGTAATTATCTTGATTGTTTATCATAATTGCACTTTATCTGCTACATTAACACGCCCCTCCCCAGCTGTGTCTTGGGAACGCTTCAATTCAGGAATTTGGTTTATCTTTGATAGCGCTAGCACAACACAGACATCCCCCCACAAAAAGTATATATACATGATTTTATATATAAATCAATGATAAATGAATGAATGAATGGATATAATTCTTAGACGGTGAGTTAGAGAAAGAAATCCAGTGTACAGCCAGAATCTGCACCCTAAGTTATCTGATTCCAAATCCCGCTTTTAGGTACTATCCAAAGTCTTCCTGATTCGTTTCAGAGCAAACATACAACCCACTTATTCATGCTGTAAGACAAGTGCTACTGCGTAGACCATGACTTGGCATACAGACACCGTCCTCAAGACAAAGCCAAATATGCAAATAAGTAGAGACATGTTTAACTGGCCTAAGAGTTGCTTCCATACTATGGAAGCATCTGTCTATCTATAAACCTATTATCACATAAAGGAAAGTTTTACTCCTTACATGGTTAATCTGAAAATCTGGTCATCTTAAAGTTATGGCCTTTCCCAGTTATTTTTCAAAATAAAATGCTTTAGAAAAGAGGATGGCAGAGAAATAACCTCAGTGCTAAGAAGTTAACCATTTTTTACAAAGCATATTAATATACTAAATGCATAGCATTTTAGCAAAAAAAATTAAGTGGTACTTCCTAACTAAGCTAAAAGTTAGTCTTAAAAAGAAGCTTAAATTTTTTCCTTTGCTTCCTTTTTAAATTGTTTTATATAACATTTGTATCCTACTTTGTGAAGTGCATGTAAAATTCTCTAACATTAAGTAATTTTGATGTAT